GCTCTCTCTATGGCTTGTACCTTGGCGGATCCAAATTCTACTTGAGCTTGTCTTCGAGATATCTCTGGTAATCAACTTCTGATTCAAGTAAGCATCTTATTTATATTATTTTTCAGGTTCACGACTCTTTTGAGTGCTTTATTCTTGCACTATAGGGAGTAGAGTATTAAACATAAGTGTAAGCGTGGTGCTTAGACTTAGGTTAATCATGGATGCCCCCTGTATTCCGGATTGGTGGTAGATCGCGTGTGTGACATCAGTACTATATAGCATCATACTATATAGCATCATACTATATAGCATCATTGATCCTTTGTAGTCCACCTCCCGTCTGTAAGCGCACGTAGGACGTGGTTGCGAAGGAAAGCATCCTCTGCTAGTGTCTTTCCTTAAGTAATGTCCCCAGTTGAACAGTAGAAGACATAAGCTTACCCAAGTCAGAACTAGAGATCCTTAGTTATCCCCTCTATGCTCCTATTTATCCTAACCTTATTACTACTCCTAGTTAAATTAACCCTTAACCTAATCGTTACCCCTTGTTAAGTTAGACCGTAGTTAGTCTCACATATTTTTCCTGTGGATACGATACTTAGAATACTTTCGGGTGAAAGCTACAGCTGTATCCGTGCGCTTGCAGGATTTATCTGTGTGCGTTAAAATATACCAACACCAGGAAGAAGAGGAAAAATATACTCGAGCTTTTTGGGTGTAAATCTGGAAACTTTCCTATGTCTTATTTAGGCATTCCAATTCATTTCAGAAAGTTACGGAACGCAGACTGGCATAAGGTGGAATAACGTTTTGAGAAGAAGTTGAGTAGCTGGAAAGGAAAACATCTATCGACAGGGGGAAGACTAACATTGATTAATTCAGTTCTAAGTAGTCTACCCATGTATATGATGTCTTTCTTTGCAATACCAAGAGGGTTGCTTAAGAAGCTAGATTATTTTAGATCTAGTTTTTTTTGGCAAATTGACAACCAAAGAAGGAAGTATCGCCTTGCCAAGTGGAGCATATTATGCCAACCTAAGGAAAAGGGGGGTTAGGCATCCATGATTTGGAGCTATAGAATATTGCACTTCTAAGCAAATGGTTGTTCAAGTTGCTAACATCTGATGGGATATGGCAACAGATAATCAGAAATAAGTACTTAGGCTCAAAGCCTTTATCCCAAGTTTATTGCAAAAAGTGGGGACTCTTATTTCTGGGGAAGCCTCATGAAGGTGAAACAGGATTTCCTTCGTTTTGGCTCATTTGTAATCAAAGACGGTTCCCAAGTGCGGTTTTGGGTGGACAAATGGCTCGGAAACTCACCTCTAAGTGAACAGTATCCTTGCTTATATAACACCGCTAGGCATAAGCAACAAATTGTAGCAGAAGTTTTTAGTTCATCACCATTACTTTCATCATGGAGACGTGATTTGATTGGACCTAAATTAACAGCCTGGAATGAACTTCTTCCTCGCATTGCTAATATCAGGCTCACTGAAGAAGAAGATGTTTTCCGTTGGAATTTGGACCCAAAGGGCCAATTCTCGGTGAAGTCACATTATTCGGCCTTGATCCACCAAGATGTCCCAAATCTAAATAAAATCATCTAGAAAACAAAGGCCCCACTGAAGATAAAAGATTTTTATGTGGTACCTTCGAAGGGAAGTTATTTTAACAAAAGACAACTTAGTAAAATGCAATTGGCAAGGCAATGAGAGGTGTTGTTTTTGTCACGAGAATGAGACAATTAAACATCTTTTCTTAGAATGTCGATTTGCACGGGTAGTTTGGGGTTGCATACAAGTTGTGTTAAATCTCCCTTAGCCCCGCAGCATTTCCCACCTTTTTGGGAGTTGGCTTCGAAGGTTTCAGAAGGATCTCAAACCTTTAATTTTGTTGGGTGCGGCGGATACTTGTTGGTTGCTTTGGTTATGCAGAAATGATTTGGTATTTAAAAAAAAACATGTTTACTCTCCGTTGCAGGTGGTTTATTCGGTAATCCATTGGCTGCGTACATGGGTTATCCTCCAAAAGTCTTATGCACAGGCTTTGGTGCAAAAGGCATTGCAACAATTGATGCAAGCAGTTACGGTGTTTTTCTCCCGGACACATAGATGGTGATCTAGTCTTAAAATTGATTGTCACTAGAGTGTCATGTTTCTTTCTCTTAGGCTTTGTGTTTAGGTAGAAGCCGGAAGTGAATTCACTTTTATTGTATCAAATCAATGTAATGATTGTGAATTAATAAAATCCTTCCTTTATCAAAAAAAAGTCTCTCCCTTATTTCTTTCCTCTCTCCTGTTAGCTCATTCTCCTTTGGCCGCTTCCTTCCAGACACCGATGCGCCATTGTTGAAAGACCCGTTTGGGTTTTGGTAATTGAGTGATAATTAGTGGACTAATGCTTTCATTGAGAAGATGGCTTGTGTGCAACGTGAAATGCTCAACATGATGAAGATGGAGATGATGGATGGATGGATGGAAATGGAGGCAAGCCGAAGGCAAAGGTATAATCTAATTTCATTACCAATTTTAAAAAGGAGCGAAACTATATAAGGATCCACTAAAATATTATATAAAGATATATTACTTTGTGACAGTAAATATAAATATATGCTACAAAATCCAATAGTAAAGCATTGACACCAAAAATGCCTCACTAAATGAAGATTACATAGATGATTTGGTCATCAATTTATCATCTACTCCGGCTATTAGATTTATTGTTATAGTAGTAGAGAGAAAAAGAATGAGACGTATTCTGCTGGACAGATTAGCCTCCTCTGTTCGGTTTGTTAATTGTGGCCCGTCAACATTGAGCCCACCAACCCAGCCACCGGAATCCACGGAATAGCATGCATCAACATATACCATGTATGTATACTACATATACTCAGTATTTTATATGGACTAGCATATGCACGTGCTTTGCAACGGGACAGAAAAACTATCGTGCTTTCATTCCGGATGAATCCATTACAAGTGAGAAGTCCCCTGCCTTAAGTGTTGGGGGCGCATATATGCTATCCCCGTGGTCTGTGTTTTTTTTAATGTTTGTTTGCTTATAAAAGAATTGTGTTTTTGACTCTCTTATTCATGAGCAAATGCAATAAGCTAAAGTACAATTTCGTGATGCACACAAAAGAAATTAAATGCCTAAAATTTGTTAAGGCCTGAGAGATATCCGGAGCAGGTTCCTTTCGCAACAATTATCCCTTGGGATAACGCTTCTAGAAAACTCACGTTTTTTTCCAATAAAAAAACGGACTCGATTTGCCAATTAGCTGAGATGTTTTCTGGCCGGAGGTACGTGGTGATGCTCCATCTAGGACCGAACTCAATTGGCTCTCGTCCGATCCCATGCAGTCCGCCCAATGGACCCAGCAAGATGGAGTTCCATTGCATAACGTGAAGCAAACCTAAAATATGTACGTATATTTGGTTAACAGCTTGAGGCCGATAGACATACGCTGCCTGGTGGTCAACGTATCTACCGGCCGTTTACACCAAAGGCCAGGCCTCTAGAACGTTCCGGACCGCTTGCCGAGTTGTGCCGCACTGCGCAGACTATCTTATAGGCTCAACATAATCCATGTTCACGAAATAATAGCCTGATACATGTACGTATACCATGGCCAGCTCACGTTGTACGCATGCATACATATACAGGCCCCGCACATAATTAAGGCCGCCGGCGTTCCAGCCATGGTGGCTTGTTTCTTTCCCATGCATGCACATGTCGAGCACGTACATTTTCTATGTATTTTTGCATGCCCGGTGATACACGCAAATACGAGTGTACGCGTATATAAGACGAATTTAAATCTGACAAAAATCCATCAAACTGGGCAGCGGAATAGGAAAACGGACAAAAGAAGAAACTCTTGGGTCTCTCAGATGGGCGGGCAAAAAAACTGAGAACGACTCATGCATAGGTTTGGAAGAGACCAAGAAATCACTTGTAATATAATTATTAATTATTATTAAAGGTACAGATACAAATATATATTTTTACTCTTATTCTTTTCTATTCAGATTAGGATTGTTACTCAGCAGGATCAGAAGAATCTATTTGAGTTAGAATTCCTAGCTATCAATTCTTTTCTAGTCGGATTAGGATTGTTACTGAAAATTGGAAGAATTTATTTGGATTAGGATTATGATTCCTAGCTATCTATATTACCTTAAGAAGCTCTGTGTATGTCATATATAAATTAGAGGGTTGTAGATAAACGAGCAGAGATAATTTTTCACATCCATGGTGAGTTAGTTAGAGAGAGGTGGGCGAAAAAAATAGATGAATAAAAAATAGATTAAAATTTTACGTCTTTATTATTAGATATAGATTACAGGTATGGGCTGCCAGAGCCTGATATATACCTGGCTCCGCCCTTGCGAGCAAGCTCTACTGCTACCATGTTCCACATGTTCCTTGTTGCTGCCTCGCTTCACCTATGCTTTTGCCTCGCCTATCACGTTCGCGTGAGGAACAACCTTTTTATTTACAATTCTAATAAGAAAAAAATAGTAACTTCTATGAACTTTTTTTTTTTGCTGGTACAACAATTGAAGCAATTTAGAATTTAGAGGGGAAACCCAAAAAAAACAAGAAAATAGGGAGCGGTGGGTGAAAGCTCCACACGAGGTGGAGTACAGCGGCCCCGCTTGTAGGTCTGTGTTTCCTTTTTTTGAAAACAAAAATCACTTGGGTACTTATACTAGATTTATTTACCAAAGTTAAGTTAAAGAAGGAAATTCCGACAGAAGCAGACCAAAGTCGTAACAGGTCTTTAACAACCCACGATCTGAAAGCAAGCAAAGCGACAATCTAAAGCAGACCAACCCAGCGCAGCGCGCACCGCCCCGCCAATTGCGACGCCGCCGCCGCCGCCGTCACTTTCGCCGCAGAAGTGCGAACCCGCCGCCGCCCGACGGCCGTCGCTCCCGCCCAGCGCCCAAGCAGCTTTATCCGAGCTCCGATTCGCCGGATCACATGCGGCCACCTCTCAAATGAGCTCCCAACTCCACAACACTTTGCTCCTGCTCCCGCTCTTCGCCGCCGCCGCTGCTTTGGGCCGCGGCGGCGCAGGCGGCGCCGCCTCGACTGCGCCGTCGCTGGAGTTCCACCACCGGTTCTCCGCACCGCTGCGGCGGTGGGCGGAGGCCCGAGGGCGCGCGCTCCCTGGCGGGTGGCCGGCACCCGGCAGCGCCGCGTACGTCGCCGCCCTTGCCGGGCACGATCGCCACCGCGCGGTGTCGGCTGCAGGAGGCGGTAGCAGCGGCGCACCTCCACTCACTTTCGCCGAGGGAAATGCCACCCTCAAGGTCAGCAACCTCGGATTGTAAGGCCTCTCTCTGTCTCTGTCAGAATTGTTTATTATGTTTGTGTTTCCGAGTCTGAGAATTTCACCAGAAAATTATTTTTCTCTGGATTCTGGTGTAGTTTGCACTATGCTCTTGTGACCGTTGGCACACCGGGCCAGACGTTCATGGTGGCGCTGGACACAGGCAGCGACCTCTTCTGGCTGCCTTGCCAGTGTGACGGCTGCACACCGCCAGCGACTGCTGCTTCTGGATCAGTAAGAACTCACCTCTCATCAGAATTCTGTGGATCTTTCGATCTGTTGGGAGATGGTGTAGGACTCAGAACTGAGCGGCAGTTCACACTGCGTGTGTTTGCAAGGATTTCAACTTCAGCAACTTATGAATTGTTCAGTGTATTTAGGATTTAGTGCATGCTAAAATTGTGCTGTATCTTGCCTTTATTTGTTTTCTGAGTAACTAGCTTCATCGTTAGAGACAGTATATACTGCTAATTCTTGATACCCTTTTAGCGATGTTCTAATTAGGTAATCAAATTGCAAGTGTTATGCTTAACTGCATCCCTAACAATATTTTTGTTATACTGCAAGACTCTAAACTGTGACATGTGAGGCTCATATTACAGTTAATGTTCTATAATCTTCTGATATGCCTATTCATGTAACAGCGAGGCTTTGAGGAGGCTCATGGTTAGAATAATGTTAAACTCAGTGAGTCCATCAGACTTTGTAATGATTTTAGACCGACGCCTTTCTTTAAAGAGGTCCAAAGCCGGATTTTATCCATTATCTAAAACCAATGTAACAGCAAGGGCTTTAATGATAATTTCTTTCATCTGAAAATGTGTTTATTTGCCTAGTGAGTTTCATTTCCATACTGCTGTCATGAACGTAATCGAACACAAAATTTGAAGCTGAATTCGGTAAAAAGGTAAGTAAAATGGGACGTTTATAGAAGCTATGTACTAATATAATTTTTTAGCATACATCACAGTGAAGAGAATTTGAAGCTGCATTTAGTAAAAGGGACTAATATTCTAGCATGCTGTGTGAAAGGCTACACGTTAATGTATGGGGGTGGGAATTCATTATATGTTTACAGTATACGAAGTAGATTGATGATGCATAAACTGTTTGTTGTTGCTCAAGAACACTGTTTTGTAGTTGTGCATGTAAAGAACTTCTTTGTTTCCCACTTCTCACTATGTGTTGTATAGCAGTTTTCTTTCCTATTATTTCTCTCACGGTTCGTGTGCATACTGAACTACTGATCTGGAAATTGATGTATGACAGTATTTTTTTTATGTTGGAACTGATTACATGTATTTTCTTTGAAATTTATCCTTTTATGTCACCATCTGAGTTTCAGGCTACATTTTACATCCCTGGTATGTCATCAACTAGCAAAGCAGTTCCGTGCAATAGCAACTTTTGTGATCTTCAAAAAGAATGCTCCACAGCATTGCAATGTCCATACAAGATGGTGTATGTCTCTGCGGGCACATCATCTTCTGGATTTTTAGTTGAGGATGTGCTTTATCTCTCAACAGAGAATGCCCATCCTCAAATTCTCAAGGCACAAATAATGCTTGGGTAATAATTTCTTTGGAATCTGGATCTACTTACAAAATACATTACATGCAGTATCTGAAGAACTTTTTTACTTTTATTCATTAGTTGTGGACAGAATCAAACTGGGTCATTTCTGGATGATGCTGCTCCTAATGGTCTTTTTGGACTTGGAATAGATGAGGTTTCAGTTCCCAGCATTTTAGCACAGAAAGGTCTGACATCTAATTCCTTCTCGATGTGCTTTGGTCGTGATGGTATTGGGAGAATCAGCTTTGGAGACCAAGGCAGCTCAGACCAAGAAGAGACACCTCTTGACATCAACCAACAACAGTGAGCAACCTCTTGACACCTCTTGACATCAACCTCCACACCTCTTGACATCTAATTCCTTCTTTGTTTATTTCGTGTTCTCCAGTCCCACATATGCCATCACTATAAGTGGGATTACTATTGGAAATAAACCAACAGATTTGGACTTCATTACAATTTTCGACACTGGTACCTCCTTCACATACTTGGCAGACCCAGCGTATACTTATATTACCCAGAGTGTAAGTAAAACATCTGATACATGATTTTGTCTTTCATAAAATTGACAAGGATTTTTTCACCAAATGGGAATTTGTCTCTGGTCAGAAAGGCAGAAATTTTCCATGTAACTGTTTCAGTGTCCCTTTTCTCAGTTTCATGCACAAGTTCAGGCAAATCGCCATGCTGCTGACTCCAGGATTCCTTTTGAATATTGCTACGATTTGAGGTTATTTTCCGAATTGTTATATACTCAACCATTACATTATATGTTTTATCATTCGACGATAAAATAATTATCTAAGCTAAACTTATCCAGCTCTAGTGAAGCAAGATTTCCAATTCCTGATATAATCCTAAGAACAGTTACTGGAAGTCTGTTTCCTGTTATTGATCCAGGGCAAGTAATCTCCATTCAGGTACTTTGAGATCGTGATTCTTTATTTGTATCTATATAGTGTGAGACTGAAATAATGTCTTTGTGTCATAGCATCTTGTAACCATTTGTATGTGACATTTCCAGGAACATGAGTATGTTTATTGCCTGGCAATTGTCAAGAGCAGGAAGCTCAACATTATTGGACGTAAGCTCAACATCTTGTAACTCTTCAGTTATTCTATATCATTTCTAGTATTAGATACTTGTAAGTGATTGCTGCAATGCTATATTGTTTCCTTACAGTCGTTAAAATTTTCTCATGCTCCACAATTTTTATTATTTGCCTTTTCCCAACCACAATGTTTGGTAATTTTCCAGTTTTCCTGCCTCCAAAGGCTGCAAATTCTATACATTGGAAAAGTAATCTGAGTGAACTACTTGTTCCTTATTATTGCCAATATCAACATGTGGACATCATTTCAATTGGATGGTGTTTCTTGACTTATGTGATCGAAGTCCTAGACATATTCTCTGCTGTCTGTAAATTGTAGAAACTCATGTTCTGTATGATCATGACATTACCTAACATATTGATTTTCTTTGGGGTAAATCTACTAACATATTTTTTTTGGTTAAATCTACTAACATATTGGTTCAGAAGTTGTGATCATACTGATCACTGGTGGTAGTTGTAACATGAAAGTAAGTAGGAACCCAGGTGGTGTTTCACCAGTACTAGCAGCTATTAGGCTGCTTAAACTCCTTTTAAAAGGAAGGAATGCAGCTGTTCATTGAAAGTAGAAGAGAAGAGAACAAAAGGATTCCCTGTACTGTAAATATTAGACTAATTACTGTACTGGTGAACAAACAGAATTTGAAGTTTTTCTTGATAAATTTGATAATGCTGTTGTTAAACGAGAGTTTGAACCTATTGAGACAAAAAATTTAAAGCATTTCTTTTGAAAAGAATATAAAAAAATTGCGGAAGTTAGTCAAATTCAAAATGAATAAAAACTTTTTGCCTAACTACTGAGTAACTAGATATGATATGACATTATCAGCCAGGAAGTACCTCTTTTTATGTTAAATTGAAATTGTCTTCTGAAATTTATATAATTATTTCTCCAGCTTACTTTGAATTTTCTACTGCTGTCGTCCTTTAAGTATCCAAGTGAAATAATCTCACATGGTTCAATTTGCCTAAAGAAATGGTGAATATCCAAGTGAAATAATCTCACATGGTTCAATTTGCCTAAAGAAATGGTGAACTTGTCATTCAAGCTTAAGTTTACCTTATTTGAAATAAGCATTCAAGCTTTTCGAAAACTTATCATTTTTCCCTAAAATGATAAATAAACACACTGAATACAACTTAAGTTTACCTTTTTTCCCAGAAAATTTCATGACTGGTCTTCGTGTGGTGTTCGATCGAGAAAGGAAAATTCTTGGATGGAAGAAATTTAATTGTAAGTAAAACATGCATTACTCCATTTTGTCCCAAACAAATTTTCTTATGATGTTCTGTATGGAATGAAGGTTATGATACTGATAGTTCAAATCCTCTCTCCATCAACTCCCGGAATTCATCAGGTTTCTCATCTTCAACCACTGAGAACTACTCTCCTCAGGAAACAAGGAACCCAGGTGGTGCTTCCCAGTTGAGACCCCTGAACAATTCATCACCAGCAGCCTTATATGATAGCTTGCTCATGATGCTTATTTTGGTCCACTTGGCCATTATGTTCTGATTAGTTTTGGTTAACCTGGCTGTAAATTAGTTTCGTTATCAAAGTAGATACTGTAGAGCTTGACTAGGTGGTATAGCATAGAGAGCAATATTGTTTAGTGGTTACACGTCCTGTAATTGGGCAATAGTAATTAGTTGTGATGCCGATTTTTGATGGCTCATTGTACAAGCATTCCCATTCCAGCTCTGACTACCCCCTATCTTGTTTTGACTGAAGGGTTTATCTCTCAGCTTTCACTGTTTCAGGATGATATATAAAGGGGAAAACAATGGGGTAGGTGACATCTATACTTTTGCAAACACTGGTTTTATGTATGATGAAAGGAATTACAAATCCATTTACTTCCTGTGTTCCCAAGACTAATGAATCTTATAAATCCCTATCGAGAATTTGTTTATGTAAACTTGTCGTGATCTACAGAAACATTATCCTTAAGGCAAGAAGCATCATAGTCCAGCTCTGACTACCCCCATCTTGTTTTGACTGAAGGGTTTATCTCTCAGCTTTCACTGTTTCAGGATGATATATAAAGGGGGAAACAATGGGGTAGGTGACATCTATACTTTTGCAAACACTGGTTTTATGTATGATGAAAGAAATAATTACAAATCCATTTACATCCTGTGTTCCCAAGACTAATGAATCTTATAAATCCCTATCGAGAATTTGTTTATGTAAACTTGTCGTGATCTACAGAAACATTATCCTTAATGCAAGAAGCATCATAGTCCTAATTAGGTGGTCTGATCTATCGATTTGTTATTGCATCCAGCATGAAAAAGTGTAAACATAAGTCACATATAAATTTTTATGACTATAAATTATTACACAGAAGTTTTGTATATAAATTATTATGATTATTATCAGTCAGAATTCAGAAACATCAAAAACTGGCCACCGGTAGTGGTCACTTAGGGAAAAAAAACTGCCTACTGTTGGCACCTGGTACAAAGGAATTCCATCGTTGGAAAACCCATCTTATTCCTCCCGTTCGCCTGCCTACTCATCGGGGGAGCATAACACCTCAGCTGGGGTGACCGGAACTTCATCGTCGCACTCGCCTTCTTCATCATCGTCGGTGATCTTCCCCAGCGGCGACGAGAAGTCAAGCCGTATCCCCTGCATAACATCCTCATAGGAGTCATCCAGATCCTGGGATGTCAACTGGTGATACTCAACCAGCTGCATCAGGCTCTGGTTCTCTCTCGTTAGGTTGGCGTTCTCTTGTGCCAGCCGCGACTTCTCTGCAAGCAGAGCCTCCAATTGCAGTCTCACCTGCAAAAGATGATGCAAATGCTCAGCAAAAATAGCACCAAAACCTACCTAAAAGCACCAACAATTCATCATATCATATATAATACTAAATGTTGCAATTAGTCTGTCTATTTTATTTGGTCCTCCAGTGCAGAAGCACTCCTCATTGCACCATTACCAAGTCATCTTCTTCAGGGGCAACTCCATTGTCACATCCCTCTCTGAGCCTCTTGTTCTCCTCCTCTAGCAAACCGCACCTCTCCTGCATGAAGTGCAGCTCTGACTTGATGTTCTTGAGCTCCCTGGCAAGTGCAGCAGCTCTGCTTGCCATTGAAACGGCCAGCTGCAGATTCATTCAGACACAAAATGGATCAAAATCAGCCACAAAAATCATACTAGAAGGAGAGGACAAGTGGTATGCAGCCTACATTTCTGGCCCGCTTCAGGTTAGTGCTCTGTGCGACCTCAGCAGAGGCCTGGATATTCCCCTTCCCCGGACCATCAGGACCAACCGCCGTTTCCTCTCCAGCGGCCGGAGAATTGCTGTCCATGCCCTTCCGTGGAGAATCTTCCGTGGAGCCGCCACACATCCGCTTCGCCTTGGGCTCCTCCTCCTCCTCCACCTCCTCGGGGCAGGCGCCTCCCTCGCATCCCCTCGCCTGGGAAGAGCACGTCGCCAGAGCACTCACTCCCTGGGACAACAAGATCACAGACTCTGTATCACGACGAAGAAGAGGACAATGAAATCGAAGCAGGGGGTGGTGGGCTCCAAACCTTCTGCGCGGCGGTGAGGGTGTCGGAGAGCTGCGCCAGCGACGCCGCCACGGAGTCGAGGCCACGGACGAGCATCAGGGAGTCCTCCCGGAGGCGCTTCCCCCGTTCGGACTCCACCACACGCTGCGCCAATCCCCGGCCCCCCGAGACACAGAGCACGTCAGGATCCGACTCAGTCCACAGGAATCAAACAGAGAATTCGTCAGGAGCAGGCTATCACCGTGGGGTCACCGGAGGCGGCGGCGGTTGGTGGGAGGTCACGGCGGTCCTCGAGGATGGTGTCGACGCGGGTGCGGAGGCGGTCCCAGAACCGTCGGTCGTCGGAGGCGGGGCTGCCGAGCGCCACGGTGGCGGAGTCCATGGGGGGCGGGGCGCGACGTGGATGGGAGCGGCAGCGGCCAACGGCTAGTTCCTGAGGTTCGTTGGAGGAAGGGGATGGAATGGAATCGGGGAAGAGAGCTTTAAAACTGGGGCTGTCGCTTCACAACGGTCGAAATTAAGTGGTCTTCGAGTTCGCCGATTCCTGCGGCGCTGAGCGTTTATCTCTTCTCTCACGAGTCACGAGATGCGGCGTGCAGAATTTACTACCAGTACGCGCCTGGGTCGTGGGGTCGCTGCCTCGCTGGCAGCAGGGGAGTCTGCTGCATGGAGAGGTGCGGTTTACCTTTGGCCGCTATCAGCTGTTTATAAAAAATAATCACAAAATTATATGTTTCATGAAAAAAAAACAGACACCGAAAATATAAAAGAAGTGACGAAATATTTGCATATATACCTGGGCTAGAAGTAAATGGAAATGCTTGGTGCTGTTAGCACCTCACAAAACCAATGTTATCCTAGTCGCTAAATGCTAAACAGTCTGCCACTTTTCGTTTAGCGGTTGAACGGTTTAGACGACCGACTAGACAATTTAAACAGTTTGCATTACAACAGTAAATTCACATATACAACTATAATTTTCATACAAAATTTTAAGTACAATTTGAGGCATGAACATAGTTGCACAATTTGACATAGACAAGAAACACTAGTGCAGGACTGTGCATCAGTCCTACCTGTGAAAACCCTTCGGTATCGGTTTCCCAACCGAGATTGTGACTCCGGGAATAAAGCCCCCCTTACCATGGGACTGAAAGTGGACTTTACTTCCGGTTGGTAATACTAACTAGGACTAAATGGGGCTCCGGACCTTGCCCCAAGGTTTGCATCTTTAGTCTCGGTTGGTGTTGCCAACCGGTACTAAAGGTATCTTTCTTTTTCCTTTTTCTTTTATGGTTTCTTTTTAATTCAATTATTTTTTGTTTGAATTAGCTTATCATATACGAATTCTACACTGCTTATATATGTCCATACGTATAAGTTTGTGTTCGAGCATTATACATAAATAACAACTAAAATGTATGAAACTATCACTACTACAGGAAACTTAACCGAGGCGGGCTAAATGGCTTAACCGGTTAATCGTTTAACCGAGGCGGATGGCTTTAGACAATCACCTCGGTTAATACATATTAACCGAGGCGATGCCTTCACCTGCCCGCCTCGGTTAAATGATTAACCGAGGCGATTTTCTAAAGCCACTCGCCTCGGTTAAGATATTAATGGATGCGGTTGTTATTAATTGCCGCCTTCGTTAATGATTTTTAGATTAAAAAAGTGCTTTTTTGAATTTGAATTTTAATTTTAATTTCGGTAATGAAAATAGATAAAGCAGAAAATAGAGGTGACGGGGTTATAACCCCGGGGTGTCTCAAGGCATCGGTTAGTTCACAGGCCAAGCGGCCCACGATACATCAGCTAGCGAAGGCCTGAACGACCGAGGCCAAGGTCAGCCACGACCCCTCCCTTTTGCCTTGGCCGCACGACGCACAAGAGACGCACGACCTCTCCGCTGTCATGACCCCTGGGAGGAACCGTGAGAGGTCAAGCCTAGGCAAGCGTGCCTGCTGCTGACAAGAGTAGACACACCGCACTGACCCCTACAAGGACCAAGGGGACAGCGGTCACCTCGGTTCGGTCAGATGCCATCCCTATACCATACAGCATAGACAAGACAACACCGCACGCCGGCGATTGCTAGTATGGCGACCCACAGACCAATTGCGGTCCAACAAGACGCATGTACGATTCTACCCACTATGGGATGTGATCCACAACGAGGGCCTTGACTTATGGGGCATTCAAAGCTCTAGTTTGGTTTTGGTGAATTGATGAAACCCTATATGCTAACCCTTTTACTCTAAGTGATCATGAGATAGGGTAGCACATTTCAAGTGATGGAGCAAATGGTGAAGATCATGATGATGGTGGTGGTAGCCATGGTGATGATCAAGAGCTCGGTCTTGGAAAAGAAGAAAGAGAAAAATAAAATGGGCTCAAGGTAAAAGTGAATTTGATAGGGCCATTTTGTTTTGGTGATCAAGACACCTAGTGGGTGTGATCACATTTAGGATAGATAGCCGTACTATTAAGAGGGGTGAAACTCGTATCGAAATACGGTTATCAAAGTGCCACTAGATATTCTAACTCATTGCATATGCATTTAGATTCTAGTGAGTGCTAACACCCTTGAAAGTGTTTATGAATATATTCTAACACACGTGCACAAGGTGAAATACTTGTTGGTTAGCACATTTGATCAAGGGTTGCGAAGTTGAAGAAGTGGAGGTGTTATTTTGCACTGACCGGACGCTGGTCATGTAGTGACCAGACTCGGTGTGGGGTGCATTCGATCATCAGGGCAGTGAGACACGTTGTCGATCGAACGATGAACGGTGATTGTGACCAGATGCATAGGGGCTGCGTCTAGTCAGGGCTAACGTACACTGATGCAAGCATCTGAGAGAAGCAAAGGAGGACCGAACTCTGACACACGTCCGATCGTGAGTGAGCGGACTCGTCCGGTCATGGTTTTGCAGCTCTAGAACCTCTCTAGAGTTGACCTGACGTGTGGTGGCGCGGCGTCAGGCAAAGGGAGAGGCGTGTCCGATCAGCGCCTAGAGGCTCGTGCACGTGCGTAGGCGTTCTATGCACCGGCGCATCCGGTCTTGCTGATCACCGCGTCCGGTCTTAACTTAACTGCGAGCACGAGAGAATCTAGCCGTTGGAGATTAGCGGCTCGAGTTCAAAGGCAGGACGTGTGGCAGTATCTGGTGGACCAGACGATGGCTTGGGTGCGTTGGGTCGCCCCAACTAGAGTGTTCGGTCACCGCACAGCAGGCTGCCTATTGAGAGCCAATGGCTCTTTTCGTGTGAGGGGCTTATAAAAAGCCTTGATTGGCTCTTGCTCACTCTCTTGACCATTTCTATTGAGAATACATCCTAGTGAGCATAGCCATCTCTCTCTTACTCATCTTACTTGATTGATTCATCATTTGGTGAGAATTGAGAGCATCCAAGTGCATTGCTTTGAGTGATTGTATCTAGAGGCACTTGGTGTTTGTGTTTCACTGCGTATTTTGCTTGTTACTCTTGATGGTTGCCGCCACCTAGATGGCTTGGTGCAGCGAGGATCGTCGAGTGGAGGAAGGTGCTTGTCTCCGGCTCCGATCATGGTAATTGTGAGGGGTTCTTGACCTTGCCCTGACGGAGAGCCAAAAGGTACTCTAGTGGATTGCTCGTGGCTTATGTGATCCTCATCTTGTGTTGGTTGTGCGGCACCCGATTACCGGTTAGGCGTGTGATGCCCATTAGCGCGTGAACCTCTAAGTGAGTGAATCGCCACAATGGGGACTAGCTTACCGGCAAGCAAGTGAACCTCGGTGAAAAATTATTGTGTCATCTTGTCACCGAGATTTCATTGGTATTCATTGTGATTGATTGATTGTCCCTTGCCACAGCAGTATAAACATCACATCCCCTCTCTTGTATTCACATTTCCTAGTGTAGCTAAGCTTTTTAGTTTAATTAGTTTTGAGAGCTAGCTTGTGTCTTGTCTAGTGGTTAGTGAGGCTCTTTAGTTAGTCTTTGAGAGCTCACTAACTTAGTAGTAGTGACCTAGCCTTTGTGTGCTTAGAGACTATAGCAACTAGAATTGTGATAGGTGGCTTGCATTTTTAGTAGGCTAGCACAAGAATTTCTTCGCCTCATATTTGTGTAACCACTTTGCTTAGTGTTGTTGTAAAATTTTTTATAGGCTATTCACCCCCTCTAGCCATTAGGATCTTTCAAGTGGTGTCGGAGCCGTGGTCACCGTGATTTGAGGCTTAACAACCTTCGGTGTTAAAATGGCTTAAATCAACAACACCAAGAAGCCACCCCTAATTTGATGGCTCCAATTATCCTTATTGGAAGGCAAAGATATATACATCAAGTGAATCAATTGAAAGGTGTGGAAGGTGGTGGAGACCAAGATTGAGGTTGCCAATGAGGAGGCTCCCACCGGCATAGAAGAAGTGCTACAACAAAACAATGGCATAGTGCCATTCATGATGCATTGGATGAGAGGACATTTGAGCAAATCAATAACATTGAGATGGCTCATGAGGCATGAAAGAAGTTGGAGGAATCATTTGATAGCACTCAAGCCATGAAGGGTGCCAAGGCATACATCCTCAAGGAGAAGTTTGCTAGCTTCAAGATGAAGGAAGATGAGAGTGTGTTGGAAATGTTCCATAGGCTTCAAATGCTTGTCAATGATCTCAAAGCACTTGGAGAGGAGGTGAAGGATAAGGACTGGTCCCACAAGTTCTTGAGATGCTTACCATCAAGATTTGGGACATTGGTCACTATTCTAGTGAATAGTGGTTTGGACACCATGATACCAAACCAAGTGTTGGGAGATGTGATGACCAATGACACATATAGAGATGATGATGAGAAGGAAGAAAAGAAGGAGAAGAAAGATGAGAAGAAGGATGAGAAGAAGAAGAAGAGTGTGGCATTCAAAGCCACATCGTCATCCAAGGGCAAGGCAAAGCAAGAATCAAGTGAGGATGAAGACTCAAGCTTTGATGAGTTAGATGATGAGAAGATGTCTCTCTTTGTGAAGAGATTTGGCAAGTTCATGGTGAAGAAGGGCTATCATGCTAGAAGAAAGAAGTCTTCATCCATGAACAAGAAAGAATCAAGAAGGTGCTTCAAGTGTGGAAGCAAGGATCATCTTGTTGCTCAATGCCCATACAATAGCGACAATGATGATGATGACAAGAAGAGCAAGAAGAAGGACAAGAAGGAGGAGAAGAAGAAGGACAAGATGACCTTCAAGAAGAAGAATAAGGGTGGTTCATATGTGGTCACTTGGGATAGTGATGCTTCTTCAAGTGATGATGACAAGACCACCAAGAAGAAGGCTCTTGCAAGCATTGCTATCAATGAGAAGCCTTCTCTCTTCGACACTCCATCGACTTGCTTCATGGCCAA